CCCTCGACATTCGTCATAACGTGTAAACCTAGGTTTTAACTGCACCTATTGGAACAACAGATTTACTTTTTACCTTTCTTGACTTAAGTGGCCTTACATTTCAACCAAGGTTAAAAAACATGTGTGGCTTCTTCATGATTTTATGAGACGTTCAAAACGCTGTCTTTGATTTCTCATACGGCGTCCAGAAGTTGGAGATCTCGGGGAGAAGCTAACTTCCCCCTCCCCCCCCCCCCCCCGACCGGGCACGGTTGTCTCAGACCACCGGGTGGTCGCGGGTTAACAAGCAATGTCAATTACTGTCGACAATTTAAAACTGGACGTCCGCAAGCGGAAATAAATGGAATGATGAAAAATATATTTGTTACGCGCCATAAAAGATACGATGTTGCTATTTTCTTTACATGCCACTGTTACATGCCATGCATCGTGCGGTGCACCAGCATGCTTTTCAAGGAATTATTTTAGGCATTTCGCTACCGATATGGAACGATCTATAAAGCAGTTCACTTCCAACTTTGCAAACGTGCCCCCGCAGTTCCTTCGGGTTAGGTCAAATGCTAGCGACACGTACAAAAGGCTCGTCACTTAAGCATTCGAGCCTACAACAATGTGAATACCAAGGAAGAACTCGCCATTTTGGACGTGGCATCCTCATTGCTTTTACCTTCATTGTTTTTTAAACATGACAACGTGTTTCATCTGAAAGGGTGCTAGGAGTCCGCAATGTAACCTTCAGAGGTGGGGAAAGTGTACTTTTTTGTCACCGGCCAAATTTCGGGGGGAAAATTTTGCCAGTGGCGTAAATACAATATCACATGACAAAGTGATCATTAAGTCCATGCCCAGTAGCGTCATCGGTAATCACCCTATCACCAAAAGTCTCTTTCGTCACTGCAATTTTCAAGATGATGCACGTAACCGAAACGTTCAATCATACACTGTTCTTCACCAAATGGCAAGATAACTGCTGCTGCAAGGAAAGCAGGCGGACCTGCCCTAGACTAATGAGATAGCTCAATCACAACAGGAGTTTTTCCACCTTCGGGACTTGCTGGGGCCCCACTTTCAAACTCGATCTAGGAATGCTATCAGACTTCAACATCAGACCCACAATTCTTCTCCAAGGGAAAAAGGCTGGTCGCTTGTGACTGCTTCAGTCGGTCAACAGCCTTTTCGATGTCTTGAAAAGGGGGTATAGATAATCACAGGCCAATTTATACCTTGATCGGATCATCCTGCGGACCCACTCCGAGATGTCAATCACTGTCTTCGCTGAGGACAAAATGCTGAATCGCGGCACCGCCAACGAAATAAGCAAGGTCAAACATGAAAGCCTAGGCATGTATTCATGGCACTACAATGGGCATGTCACAAAATTGCAGCGCATCACCCACCTCATATCAGTCGCATCGCAACGATTGAAACATGACATTGCGACCAGATTAATCCCGATATTTAGATTTTTCAGTGTTTTATACTGTCTAGTTCGGGACACGGAGGATCAGCTCTTAAAAAAACAGCGTATCGGCTGGCCGGCTAGGCTAAATAAAATATACTGATTTGTTGCCGACATGTCACCGAGTCAGCCGACCAACTAAAAATCATAGGGTATTTTTGTCGCCGGCTTAGAGTGAAATCTAGAAGAGATACTGTGGTGCCGTAGAGCACGATAAAGAGTCTTTACGAAAACGTTTGCTGCTGTTATGTGACGAAATGTATTACCATGGAGGCATAATATCCATGTATGGAGGCCTCATGTTATGTTTTGCATAGTGTGCTGTATTTTTTCATCCGGGTCGTCACCAAATTTGCTGTCTAAAAACATTTTTGGCACCAACCTTCGTGGGGATATAAATATTTTTGTCCCCGACCTTATCCACCAAGTCGGCAGGTTCTACCACGCCTGGTCGTCTTATGTGAAGACAACGCGGTTCCTCAAACATGCGAAGCCTGCTGCCTCGAAGTCTTCGACTACGTGTCTGCATATTGGACATCTTGTCCACTGTCATGCGCGGTGATATTCGGTCATTCACTGCGAGCTGGATTACGAGGTGTTCGCATGTATGAACATGAATAATTGCCTGAATGGACATACGCATGGTCATAAAATTGGGTTGTAATCGAAACATTCCCGAAGGCCACTGGATGTAGGATTTACTGATTGGGATGCTTATTAAAACTTGCTTGGATAGGAGTCAGTCCGACCCCGCCCAAAGGCTTTTCCAGAATCATTTCCGAACGACGCGGCGTAGCCGTGCCATAGTTTGTGCAGGAGAGAGAGGGAGAGAGCGCCGCTCTTTAGGAAACACCGCGCACCCAAACATTAGGAATATTTTATATCGTGTATCAACAGGTGACGGCCCATTTGACCCGACACTGAAGAGGAAGAAAGGATACCAGAACCAAAATGGAGCTAAAACACAGCCTTCTTTACTTTTGCTTGTAGTGATATTGAAAGTGGAACGCTTTTCGCTCACGGAAGTGGACAGCGCAGTGT